GCGCGACTTTGACCCACACCCTGAGCCGCTATCGGGCCAAGATGCCCGCGCAAGGGAACGATCATTGCCGTCCCTCACGCACGCGTGCTACAAGGATAAACTCTAACGCTTCTACTCGTACATTCCGAATTAGATATAGATAATTGAATGAGATATAACTGTAAAAACATGCCCCATTCCATTTTAGAATAAAGTTTGGAAAATACATGATATATTTTATAGTATTCGCTCGTAGAAAAAATATTACTACATTGATAGCAAACATACTTTTGTTGCTTATAAATAGCATGCGTATAAAATGCATAACTAATTTTTAAATAAATTGAGTAATAATGTAATATAAGCAAAAGTATTACATAAACTGTGTCAGGAGTGGCACGAAAGGCTCAGAGTGGACGGAATCCTCGCTGTCGTCGTAACTCAACGTAATCGGAACATTAAGATCATTCCGACAGATTGGACGGTCGTAAGATTTTGAGGATCCGATCTCGATCAGGCGAGCGGTTGAGTAAGCCGCGCGGTGTGGCAATAGCCAGCGAGCTCTAAAATTCAGTTGTAACATTTCGTAAACGGCAAATTTAACGCGCGCACCGCCCTGTGTATTCTAATGCAACTCGACAGTATCTGGGTCACGGATACACTGCTACACTGAGAGCCCGCCAACCGCCGACCGACGCCAGATACCACCCGAACATAGATAACACCTTTAACGCACACCAATATTGATCGATAATCGATATTTAGATCGTAAATATAGAAGACGCTCCGTTGTCAATATCGAACGATTGCATCACGCTGCTCTGACATCACACGACCGATCTCAGTACTACTGACAGCGTCTTTATGTTGAAACAGAGATTTTCAAAAGCACACCGAGTAACCGGGTAACGTAATATCATTTCTGTATTTTTGTGTTATGTACTAATTCATGCCTAACACTATGCAATATGCCATATACGAATGTATACGGATATGTAGCGTGCGAATGTGCATTGTGAAGCGTTGCGCCACTCGGTTACTCGGCAGCATAACGTCAGCCCTCCAACAACAGACGTGGTCGGTCAGCTGTGCTGCTTAAGCAATGCGGTTGTCATTTGTTGCAGGTCGATGACCAGATGAAGCTGCTGCAAGACTCATGGTCCGACATGTTGGTCCTAGACCACCTCCACCAGCGGATGCATAACGGTCTGCCTGATGAGACCACGCTCCACAACGGACAGAAGTTCGATCTTCTATGCCTGGGTCTGCTAGGAGTGCCAGCACTGGCTGATCACTTCAATGACCTTCAAAACAAATTAGCCGAGCTCAAATTCGACATACCGGATTACATTTGCGTCAAATTCCTGCTCTTGTTGAATCCTGGTTAGTATCGATCGTTGTTTAAGTGGCGATGTTGCGAATTGATTGTTTATAATGCAATATGCTGATGCAGTTTGTGTGTGTTTAACGATGTTGTATTTATTTTGAAGAGTAACTTTGGCGTTTCAGAGGTGAGGGGCATCGTGAACGTGAAGTGCGTGCGCGACGGCTATCAGACAGTGCAGGCAGCGCTTCTTGATTACACGCTCACCTGTTACCCTTCGATACAGGTACCTACCATTAATGCATACATACAAAATGCCCATTTTCTGAAATGACTATACACCTATATCGATATCATCTAAATCCAGAAATGCGGTAATATTATTGATCTTCAGTTTTTAAATATTATTTATAAACTCATAAAATCTAACGAAGGTTTTGCAGTTCATCAATGCCGCCTTTGAAAAACATGATTCATTTGATTCATCTGCACAAAACAATCTTTTAGATTTCAATTTCTTGTTTAATTATCATTATACATTATATATTGAAATGATCGTTTGAAAAACAAATATGTCACCTAGACTGTAAAATAATGTGAGTTTAAAATGTTTGAAATACAGAAACGATTCAATTCTAAATAAATACTCTATCACTGATAATTTATCTATGGTAAAAGAGTAAAGATGTATTGTTCTGTCTCTTCATTGAACTTGCTTTTACGTTTGATCAAAGTGATGTCGTCAAGTTGTATGATTAGTAAGAACGCATAAGAAACAATTACTAAGGTAAATTCAATGTTTGGTAGAGGGAAATTCAAAAAATAGTCTAAGTCAACAAATGACTAAATTCGTTTGTCTCTATGGTTTTATGAATACAATATGAACAAAGCCTCATTATGTAGAGTTTAAAGATATGATATTGCACGAACCGCGAAACGAGGTCTAGCCGTATTTCCATCACAATAGACGTCTAGTATGACAGACAGACTGATTGGTATCTACGAGTATATCGAAATAACATCTCAGACGATTTTTTTAATGCATCGAAACCATCGACTAAATCAAATCTAAAATCAACTTATTAAATAAAAATAGTATCCAATATAAGATACATGTTAATTAAGTATTATATTTTTTATGCTTAACAATATGCCGTTACGTTACAAACTTGGACCAAAAAGTTGTAAGGACTTTAGCAATAGTTCAATCGGGAAGGCCTATCTTTTTTCTACTTCTGTGATTAGATGATGCAAGTGTCTTTTGCCACTCAGCTGATAGCGGCGCGACTACGGTTGTTATTTTGTATAGCTCTAACATAAGAGTCACTAGGACGTACGACTCAATACACACACACGACTAGTAGCTCGCTGCTATCTGCTTTGTGGAAATAGAGACTTAGCTGCATCGTCGTCGTAACTATTAGATAATATCCGATTCCCTGTTAGTTCTCTCTACAGATAATAAATATTAATATAGGGTAGTGATGTCGTATCTAGGGTTATCCAAGTAACTCCTTGGCTAGAGACGGTGTTTTTTCAATTCGCAGGACAAATTTAGTAAATTGGTGACCCTGGTCCCGGAGATCCACGCCCTAGCAGCCCGAGGAGAGGAGCATCTGTACCAGAGACATTGCGCCGGACAGGCGCCCACACAAACACTTCTCATGGAAATGCTACACGCCAAGCGCAAGTAAGTTCACAAATCGCAACACTATATAACCACTATGTGTTTGTCGACTAAAATATGAAAACCAACCTTAACTGAAGATCAACCTGCCTCGCTTAATCATCTCAAATCATTCATGTCTTATGCAATATAAATGTTATGTATAAGTATTTTATGTAGTTTATATGCATAAAGATATTATATTTACATGTTTATTTGCGCATTCGTTGCCATAGCAACGGCGCGCCCAGCACCGTTCATTAAGAATCCGCCAGATATGCAGTAATGTGTCTTATTCTAGGCCGAACGGAGGCGAAATGGTTACCCGGAACGCTGAGCACGCCTCGACTCTAGACAGATTGTACGTTACCATATTATATGAGAATATCTTAGTTTATGCGATCATTCATGTATTACGCATTAACACACCGCGGGACAGAGTTGCCAGTTTTTCACGCCATTTGTAATGTTGCAAAAAGCACGCGACCGCAAAGTTTCCTCTCGTTGGACATAGTTTGCGACACGCAATCTTTATTTTGCACAATCAGACGCAAATTTTGGTTAACTTTGTTTTCTATTTTATGTAGTTAAATACATTCGCAGTATAACACCAAAAATAGTATTATGCTTGACATTAGCCACTGTGATCAGTATTGTAAATATATAGATATACATAGCTTATGTTTCTATGCACCTTTTTATTGCGGTTTCTATTTATAGTCACATTTTATAAGCTTGTAGTAATACACCTTATAATGTAGCAACGTAATTGTTAACACTAATAAAAAAATATTTTGATTGCATTTTCCGTAATTTCAAACTTTAAAATTCCACTGCTGGAACATTGCTGTTGTCTCTTTTTTAAACAAAATGGGAGGGAAGAAAACATGTTTCTATACTAGTGTTTCGGCTGTGGAAATCCACAGTAACATGAAATTACACAAATGATTTTAAAGTACAGTAATTACTACAACTGGCAATTCTATATCTCGCTCCCATGCTTTTCCTTTCATATTGGTGATGGTATTTACTCACAGGTATTTTGGTTTCTCATGACTGAATTATTTATTATTACTCGACTTCGCATTTTAGGTGCTTTTACCCTAATTTTTGATATTATATTTGTAGATAAAATGCTGATTTTTTTTGTTCAAAAATATCTGCGTTGTTATGATTTTGTCACGCTGTGCATTTTTAGTAAAGTAAACTATAAAATTTATTGACGCTTCAAATTATTACATACATTTCAACGTTTTTATTTTTTATTATATGCATGTTTTTGTTGTATTTGAATAACAATATTACAACAAAATTGGACAACGTGTAATTTTAATTTACTAATGCTTTATTCATTTGAAATCTAATTTAATATTTAAATATTAGTAAAAAGCATTTAAAATGCGAAGGGAGCGACAAATTATATCACATTATTAAGGTCTGATTCATCGGTAAATATTTTCAATTAAAACTTCTAAACTACGCAATCGGAAGCATGTACTCAATCTTATTTTTTCAATAATTATGATTGTGATTTTCAAAAATTCTGTAAATAACGCTATATTAATACTACAAACTAAAACCACAATCCAAAAATATACATAAAAGAAAATTGCGCCGCTGTGCATATATTAAATAATTGACCCAAATCCATTTATTTAGGTCACTTATTTAAGCGCTGTGCTCGTTTCGACGCGAGTAAACGATTGGACAGTATACTCGCAAACTTAAAACCACTGAATGTAATAAAAAGTACGTTAAGACCTCTTTTCACTAAGCGTTTACCCGCGCGATAGTAGAGACTGCTGTAAGGCACCATTTTAGTCGCTGTCACGCCAATACAATAGTAAAAGCTGTTCAGACACGTCGATAACCGCGAGGTTACACAAACCGGTTATCGCTACTCAACCGCCAGAAAATAAAATAGGTTAGAAGATTGTTAACCGAACTGAATTAGAAATAGCAGTCGCGCGTATTCAAAGTCTTGCTAGTGGAAATGGGGTCTAAAACATGTACAGAGTACTTCATGAATGAATTAAACATCCTCCCTTGTGTTTAACATTTGGCATGTTTTCCGTGTCGCTGCGACAGAATGCTCTGTGCATATATCAAGTTGGTCCCGGGCCAAGATGTTAATCTCATAATGTGTTCTGTCATGAACTGTGCCACTTGTACATTTTATTGACCCAATTCCTTCTAGTGGCCAAAAATTCACATAAAATGATTCGATGTAATTGTAACACATTCTATGTTTTCGAAATATAACTTACGGAAATATAACTTATACGCGTATTACATGATGCTTCAACGCAAAATGGACTAAACTTTTTTATATCTAAACTGTAGTTTAGGCTTTAGACAAGGTATTCTAAAGGCACTTATTTAGGCAGATTGTATATAAAATATATTTAGGAGTGCAAACTGAGGTGAATACAACGGCCTTATACAAGTGTGTTTCAAGAGAATGCTCTCTATGTGTCAGGTGCGGATTCCTGCCCAGTGACACGATTGAGCCGCATTCGCCAATATAGAGTAAGCATATAATATATACAGATTTTGTTGTGCCTCGAATGAGCTTACACCACTATGCGCACGCACTGTCGCCAAGCACCTTATTAGTAAGCACTCGTTCTCACTCAAAATAAAGGCTGTTCACAAGAACAGAGCAGTTAGGCTATGCAGTACCTCAATGATGGTTATTGTTTGAACGTATACTGTCAACAGTACTTAGCCTATAGACAAAGTAACATTCGATTAGTGATATCGGTAAATTTTACTTAGTCTACGTCTATTCTGTTGCGGCGATGTGTTCAAACAATAATGCTGTACCGTGTTACTGCTTCACTTCACTGTTCTGCCTTTGTACGAAATAGCAAAATGACGTCAAAGATAGGCAGTAATGCGGCTCTATCGGTTATGTTTTTTTATATATTACATATAAACTTAGATCAATTTTAAGATCGATAGGTCATACTTAGTATACCGTTTCTGATGCTTTATCCATTCTAAGTCCCTTTAGTGGGTTCAAAATCAAAAAATGTAATATTTAGCAATGTTATGAAAATGTCCTCAAAAATGAAACTGGTCAAGACTCCCTTCAAAGTTTTCCATTTGGTACTTTATCAGTAAGGCAATAAGAATTTTTTTTTTCAGAGCAGTAAGCCAAATTCAGTAATGAGTATTTTTATTTATTTATCAATAAACATCTTATATACCTCTTTGTTAATATAATGAAATTTAATCATATGTAACTGCGCTGTTAAAGAAGTCTTTAAAATACCATAACTGTAAAGTTTACTTATCAGATAAAATTTTGCACGTACGTTTTGACTATTCAGTCCAATCGTTTAGTTAAACTGTAGGGTAAGGACTTTGTGCTAAAGACTAGCGGTTCCCGTGCGATTTCATCAACATAAAATTATTATATTGTTTACATGTGTCAAATTGTCAATTGCAAATGTCAAAATGTATGACATGACAAAACTTGGTAATCTTGTTTTCTTGATGTTGGCAGCAACTTATGGTCTCTTTCCCACATTTGGGTCTTTATTCAAAATAGCCTAGAGCGTAAGTAGAAAAAGATTTTTTCAAAAATAAGCTGTAATTGCTGACATCTTAGGCAACAAAGAAGTGTGTGTTTACGCTTTATTATAATAGTATAGAAGTATAGATTGATTTGAGAGTTAATAATTTCTATCAGAATAGATGTTCTAAAATTACTGCTACGTTAACATCACAATTAATTGCTGTTATTAAAGTTTACTAGGACAAGTCGTAAATTGTATAGTAATTGATAAAAATGGAGATATCTTAAATCGAATTATATGAATTTTACACGGCAGTATAGCAATATTTGTTTCTTTTAGTTCACCTTGGCTTTCTTAGATGTTAAAACAAACTCCATTATTAACAAGTGTATAATGCTAACAATAATGCAAGTTTTGTGGTTTATTATTAAAATAATTTTCATCAATCTTTTTTTTCATTATCAATGCACAATGGATTTGATATACGTATTACCTTATTGTTCGCTGGATCTTTCGGTTATTCTTAACCGAATTTAGAGATTAGAATATACAACGTTTTTATTATTTTTATAACAATGGTTTCGGCTTAAAGGCCTTATAACCGTAATGTTTTAGACTGGACTCTGAACTTTATTCTTGTATACTTTGTAGTTGAGTTGAAGACAGGAATGACTATGTTTTATACAAGTATTTGGGAAATGTCGATAGATAATTGCAAACCCTAACAACCTTCTAATATTCTAATCATAAAAAAATCATGTCTTATATATCATTTTACAATTCACTTCGTGTGGTTATTATTAGTTGGAAAAAATATAAAAAGCAGTTGTTATATGTAAATAATTGTTCAATAAATATGAGCAAAGGGAAAAATCTTAACCTTTTCAAATCCACTTTAACCGCAGCACGTTAACAGACTCGTCCAAGGTCATAACTTTTACTTTTTTACGTCGCTCACCCGCTTTAATCTTCGAATGGCTTACAGTCGAGTTAACCGACCTCTTTAAATAAATTTCCATTTAATAGTCTGTAATTTATTTTAACTGTTTATTTATTAATCCTAAAGTAATTAATTTTCGAAATACAAGTAGATTAGTTATGTTAAAGATTCCTTCGCTAGTCGGAGAGGCACTTTAAGAAGAAGAAGAAAGATTCCTTCACTTTATATAAACTCATCTGAATTATTATTCATAGTTATTAGATATTGAAATCTATATGTTCGAGTCTGACCGATAGACCGAAGTTCAAATGACAACTGATCAAAAAATGTTTAACCCTGAAATAGATGAAGTGTCAAATGCGATATTTTTTTTATTTCGTATTGGCCACCTACATTTAGTTTTAATGTTAGGCTGATTACCTTTGACTGATAATATTCAAGTTAGAAAAAAAGAGCATATATAAAAACATAGTTTAGAATTTTTCCTATTTTTCTCCTGTAGTAAAAACACAGTAAAGTATACATTTATACATTTCGTAATTAGATTTAAAATAATCAAGCTTTTAATGGTTAATTTAAGTTATGGATTCAATACAGTAAGTACGTCAAATCCTAAAATATATTGTACAAACTTAGTAACAGACACCGCGATAAAAAAGTCACTAGTCAGTAACTGGTCTCAATGTAGGTCCTTATTTAGTTTTGTCGCCAAACTGGTCGATGTAATTTCTTCTAGCATGTTTTCTACATTTTGTTGCATTGAATTCAATTATTCCGTTTCTCACAATTTAAGAAACTTACCATCGTAGTAATAATTTAGTTCAAATCTTATTTGAGACCGTTTTTTTACTTTTTTTGAATGTAAACTACACTTCTCTAATATTTTTTAAAATTTTATCAGAATCGTCGGAAATATTTCCACAGTCGAAACTATTTAACATAATATTGATATGTTTGTTTTTTAAATTAATGAAAGGGATGAGAATATATTTCGGGGGCAATCTTATAATTAAAATTCTTTCGCTATAGATAATCTAAAATAATCTATTTCTTACAAAACGTTTAAATGAAAAATCACAAAAGTAAAACAAAAAAATTTTAACATAATTGCGAGAAAAATTCAAATATATGTCCAAATATTTGATAAGCCGATACTTCGTGGGAAACATGTTTAAAACATTATGAATGTATATGTAAAAGTTTTTTTAAACAGAATATAGATCACGTCGGAATAAAGATGATGGTTCTATTTCGATGTAATTCCGTTTTATTTATATTTTAGCATTAACGGAATAAACAAACAATATAGTTTTAAAATTGGAAATTCAAGTTCCACAGCGACATCTATTAACAAATATCGGAAATTATTTCACGCTTGCAAAAGTAGTAATTTACAATTAGCTAGTAACATTGCATTTGGGGCTGGCTTATTTAATTAGTTGGTACTTTTTAATGTAGAGATAATGCAACATAATCTGGCATGGGGAGTTGTGTTTAGGGTAACATACGTTGAACATAAAATAGATTACAAATTTCAGTACATTGGTTTCGGTCGTGAAAACCCACGTTAAGGCGAGCTTGCAATGCTGTCGCAGCAGTTACAATGTCACCTGACAATTGTTAATATTTCCATTGTATAATCTTACTAGTCATCATGTGAAATGTCCAGGGTACAGGATAAATCTGCACTTGAGAAACGGGGAATTAATTTCGAGATTTTAATTATGGTCTCGTCTATATGTCCGTCGTCTTTTCAAATGCATTTGAAGAATCACGGACCTCGGAACCCTACTTTAGCACACATCGCCCGCGCCAATTTGACATGATATCTACAATGATTTAACATGCACGTGCTAGACACAACGCTATGTAATTTTTGTTAATATTTTTTGTAAATGCAGCAATTGTAATTGGTGCACTTTCTTTTTTCAGATCTTGAATTGGCAGCGGGGTGTGGGGAGAGTGAAGTTGCGCCAAGCGCTCCCGACAACTTCATCAATGATGTTCTACAAAATTACTTATCACTTAGTTTTAGTTTTTAACTTGGTGTGTGATTAATTATAATAAGTTATTGCACCGAGCGCCGGCCGCCGCGCCGCGCGTGCCTAGTCCCAATACAGATAAAACAAATATTTATCTACCTAATCTCTGTTACATAAAACTATACAGGATGTATCGTATACCAGTCTCGTGTCGTAGCTACGATTTTATTTATTGATCAGCATGTATTTGTGTTACTTTCAAAATTGTTGTTAAGTGTAAATCATTAAATATAGTAGTGGTTATATCTATCTTAACATCGGTGCGGAAGGGAAAATATAACAGTACATTAAGGAAAGCGTCTGTGATTATAAATGATGAAAATTGGATACCGTTGTAATGATAGTTGATGTTGTATTGTGTAAATGTTAGTTTGTAAGCGGTTGGCGGTCGCTCGCCGCCGCACATTTCGTGTTACTTATTAACTTTATCTTCTCGTTTAAGCCTTCGATAAACACCTTGCAAAGGATCCCCCTCCCCCTCCCCCGTCCCCCACTCCCCCTCCCCGCGTACCTGTTTAACACAACGAGTGGAGTAGTTGGGCATTTTCAAATTTTATTATCAAAATTATATCGTCTACATATTTTCATATATCACTACTTTTAAGATTATTAATTAATTTTTCAATTAAAATCATTATTTTAAAACGTGTTTGCATACAGATCAAAATAAAATCAATTATTAAAATCAACAAATAACATACCAAATAAAGAGAAGTTAAAAATATATATATATAAATATTTTTTATCGGCCGTATCAGTACAAAAAATAATAATCCTTGTAAATATTAGCACACTACAGTGAATTATTCTACTTGTATTGTAATTATGTAACATATTTTTCAACGTACGTGCAAGAGAGCCTTAAAAATCATAGATTTTTAAACGATATGGGTACTAGCGCCTACCGACAAGCTCGAGCGAGGCGATGTATTTTTATAAAAACATATTGTTCTTTATTAACATATATGATATGTTAACTGAAAGTACATTACTTCGTATTTTTCTAATATGTAATATATTAGAGTACGTAAACAAGTGTAACGATCAACATTTATTGTGGGAAATAATACATATTAATATCGTAATTGTTAAACGATACACGATCATTGCAGTCCTGGTATCGTTTGCGAATCTGTTTGTTTGTTTTTTTTATTGGCGGATAATTATTACGTCGTGACCCATCATACACTTGGCTACGTAACAAATCGATTTTAGTTAATCAAAAATGTGATTAATGGTTTGTGTTTGAAAATGAATGTTTATAAATATATATATTATTAAATAATTGTAATCATAGTATCATTGCACCAAGTGCAAATGTATAGAAGTCGCATCAACGATTTAATATAGTAGGATATTTAGGGCCTGTCCCACCAAATTGTTATCATAACAATCGGTCGTGTAAAATATCTGATTGAAATCGGTGTTATCTTATCTGACAGTGATGTCATTTTTAAGCTATCTGTGACCAGCCATTGGTGGGACGGGCCCTTAGTGTTTATTTCATATAATTTGGCTTGGCGCCTATTTTCTATCTAGGCTTGTTAAACTTAATATATAAGTTACGGCACCATGTTTCTGTCTTTAATACCGTCCAGTGAACCACGACTTTAATCGTCTGCGAAAAAAAAGTTTAGGCTCTAAAATAAATTCTACTTTGCTTATTCACATAGAGCGGCGTGTTCGTTGTGTGTACACAACGCTCGTTAAATTATTGACAATTTTTTATGTTTCTGACACAAGTACAGATTTATGAACGATGCATTTTTAGGCAAATTCGATAGTGTATAATGTCTATCATCTGTATAGCCTTATAACAAAAAATGTTTAGAGGTTATAATTTTTAATTTCTATTGAATTCAACTAAGTATATGAAATCATGACAAATTTAGAGGAACGCTATAATCAACGTTATTGATAACTTTTTTTTGAAAATCATATTATATTTGAAATATAATTCACGTTCATGTTTTGTAATATTAAATATCAGGTCAATATTTACTTTAGCAGTCTTCTATATTTATTCATATTTATGTACATAATTATATTTGTTCATATACACTTTACAAAGTTCCTGGAAACGAAGTTGTGGTATGTTTTATATGATATACAAAATACAAGATAGGTTTTCAGTTTGCACGAACAAGTTAATTTACATAAGAACAAACTTTGATGGGAGTTGTTTGGTTTACATAGATACTTATTTTAATATCACATCAAGCGTATTTTTATTATAAGATTAAGGGCCTGTTCCACCAAATTGTAAATTGTCTAATAACAAGATTTTGTTACCTCATCTGACAGTGGCGTCATTTTTAACCTATCTGAGACTTTATCAGCCAGTGGTGGGACAGGCCCTAAATAATCAGAATCATTTGAATAACCCCCGCTTGCTATTTCCTATCTAAAATAGAAATTATTGAATAGTAAATACTTTTGTAAAGCTGTGATACTAATGGGTATTTTAAATCAGAATTCCTGTAAATAAAAACAAACCGTCCCGGACAAAAATAACTTTGACTTCTTCCCAATATCATTGAATGTTGTGGATTTATTTTCTGTTTAATTATAAATTTATGTACTCACATCAATTTAATCTTGAAACTCGAAAATTTATAAGAAATATAAAGGTGGTGTTTCATTAGATCGGTGTGTGTTGCAGCTTTACAATCGTAAGTCATTTAAGACGAAGTTTATCTGTGATTGTATGGAATAGTTATATTTGTTAGTCTGCGTGTTTGTTCTACCCTATAGCGGCAGAAGATAGCACTTTGTGTATATTACCCCTGTTTCCGCAATGGCTTTAAATTTTAAAAATCCCTAACACGACAACAGTGTCGCCATCTCTTATCTCCATAATGAAATAGAATACCTCTCTGTACAATAAGTTTCTTACACCCATTTTAATTAACGTTTGTTACCATTTTACAGTATTTTTGTATATCAGATTTATTTTTTATTTATATTATTACTAGTATTCAAAATATACAGTATTAATTGCAATAAATTTGGTCGAGTAATAGATATGTTTTAAATTGTAATTAATTGAATTTAAACTAGATTTTTTTTTATTCGAAATGTTTTTATTTTTTATATAGAATATTTAAATATTTGTATTATATATTGGTCAAATTATTTTTATCTATAACAGAACATTGATTATTTTTTTTATTTTCGTTCATCACATCTTATATAACATAATAATTATTGATATAACATTTAAATAGTAACTAACAGAGATAAATCGTAGGAGATTACGGTGTCGTGTGCCATTTAAAAATTATTTACATGGTTAATATTGAGGGGATTGTCGGAGGGGAAATGGATATTAGGATCGGTTTGAGGCTATTCGGACATTTTCGCCATTGGGCTCAATAAGTTGTCACTATGTTTGTGATGTGCTTAAATTTGTACAAACCTGAGACATATCTTTTTACTCGAAGTAAATCCCCAACTGACATCTTATAACAGCTTCGTCAACTGTTTAATGTAGGAATCAATTCCTTCGGGGTTTTTCGCCGAGCGAAATTGTGGACAATATGTGTGTTTAAGGTAGCAGTGATCATATCATTAACTATACTTTAATGTTTGCTTCGTCTATACGTCATTTTGCTTCATTACCGTTTTGACAATTTATTTAATTGAATAGAGTTTAAATCTATGCTTGTAACGTACGTGTAAAACCCACTATTTACGTCGTAAGGTTAGTATGTAAAATACAGCGTAATATGTTGTATGTAACTTTCTTCTAAGTAATATCTATATTTATGAATTTAAAAATAAGTATTTTGAAATGTTAAGGCACACGCCATGGGTGTTGTATTGTAAATGTACATTTTGAGTTGAATTAGAATAAACGGAGCGAGGATTTAGTTGTCGAAAGGGACTGGCGAGCGACTGTCGCTTCGCTCAGAGCGCGTTGAGCAGCCATACGGAGGCCACTCGGCGGTCATACGGTGGCCACTCGGCGGCTATACGGTAGCCACTCAGTGGCAGTGGCCAAGTGCGACGGCCACGCGACGGCCACCCGGCAGCGAGCTCCTCGCGGCCACCATCGCCACATCACACGACAAGTTGACGACATGATAGGGCGGGAGAATCAAACGCGTCACACACATTCCAAAATATAATAAAACCGCTGTACGCTAAGTGACGCGCGTCGACGAACGCGTTGCTATTCTGTAAGTTAGCCACTTTGTTGTTCATTAACGATAAGTTAGGTTTAATCTCAATGGATGTTGTTTACTTTAGTCTGTGTATAGTATTGTATCTGTATAAGTTTGTATGAGGACGTGAATTTGAGCGAATCGACAGGCGTCCGCCTGAGGGTTCTTCGTAGGATGTAAATGTTTAAGTACCTAAGCGATTACTTTGCACCTAACTTCATTTCGCGAACCGTGTTAGTTTTATTGATTGTACATATATCTAGGGCGAGGTGTACAGTTTCAATCAATATTATATGGTTATTGTTGAATCTAAAAATATGGGGGCTGGCAAAATACCAATGCAATATCGCATTTGATGTTATAAATTTATCTATCTGATACCATAGATATATGTCTATTTATGTGTTAATATTGTGTACGGCGCGGCCGAGCCCGCCGCGTCAACACGAAGGCGACGCGGGGCCGACGGCCGCGCCCACCGCCAGGGAACGAAGCCCTCGCAACTCTACATTATGTAATACCCTAAGTACACCCCTTAAGTTCAGCCATTCAAGGCTCTTATTTTTGTAAGGTTGCTACCATTTTAACTGTATTAATATCGAAAAATAGATTTATTTCTCGAAGACACGCAACTTTTATACATTTTTTTGTTGCTGTAATATTTTTATTTTGAATAAAAGATACTACATTTGTTACCAATTGTTTAATTGTTATACCGAGGGGATAGCGTTGTACTGTCTCGTGTGAGTGCAGTTAGCAATGGAGCAACCGGCGCCCGCGAGAGGCCGCCACCTCCGCCGCCTCGGCCACCTCCGCCGCCTCACTTTACCTCACGCCGCTACTTTTGTACATTTTAAACTAATAGCTAAATATAATTGTTGTCGCTAAATCATTAAACTTATTTTATTACCGATCTACGTCTTGACTTCATCAAACAAACCGTAGACGTTGAGCTAAATGTATTTTATCAAAATATAGATAGATACAAGTGCGTTAGCGACGGCTAGACACGCCGGACGCGCACCCTCGATGTATTTATTTTCATGGATTTTAATTATCATTGTGAGACGCACGAACGTGCAACTTATTGTAGAAATAAATCATATTTTCGTTTAAATTATTGCGTCTTTATTTTACCTCCAAATCGGATAAAACAGACGACCTAACTAAACAAATCTAAAAACTATTAATACTAATATAATGCAATAAAAACAACAATACTCAACAACTTGTTACATACTAGTAAGAATTATTACACTTATAATAAACAGTATACCATATCCTACAGAAAAACATGATGTTTGTGCTATCAAATTTTAGTTCAAATCACAAACGACTAACTAAAAATTCTAGTATAAAACAGCGCCATCTTTCGCCTGTAAAAATAAACTTGTAATACAAAAAACAGCGTGTTAAGCCAATGATATGGGTAAGTACTTTTTTATTTCAAGGAGAATGAAAAAAGTTATCTTTGTGGATAGCCAGTTTAGTATGTCGAAGTTATTTATATATCTGTTTTATAGTTTTGAGGTTAAGACGGTGCACAGAGAATACATTAGATATGGTATGGTTCAGTGCACAGTTTGACATAGGCTGTCAACATAGTAAAATCAATTTAAGGGTGATAATAAAATAAATATTAAACGCAAAACGATTTATTCCCTCTTACCAATAAAATCTACAACAATTTTTATTCACAAAACATGCAAATATAAAAATTTCAAGGTTGCATTCTCAATGAGCCATCCAATCTTATAGTCTCCCCATTGATCATTGGATTTTGTATAATACTTTGAACTAATAAGGCATATTCATTTGGACTTCCAAGACGGGGTGGGAAAGGAACTGAAGCTTCTAACTGCTTAATAGCAGACTCCGGTAGCTGCTCCATCATAGGTGTACGGAATAAACCTGTAAATAAACAATTTAAAAAAATCTATACCTTAAAAACAATTTTTTTTATTAAAAATATTGGTAGATTTTTTTTTATTTACTAAAATTTCCTTTAACCATTCCAACCAAGCTCTATGCTTGTGCTAGGATATGGTTTACGACGACAGATGAATGGCGGGATTCGAACCCTCGACCGTAAGATCGGTAGTTCGTGCTACAAATCCCTAGGCTATTGGCGCTTTCTAACTCAAATACTAAAGCATTTTCATAATATAAATAAATTAAATATAACTTGATCTTATTGCAAAGGGACTATATAATGAGATTTATTAAATGAAAGAAATCATCTTATAATTTTGTCGCATTGTTATTGCAAGTTGTAAATGTAAACAAAATAAACTTTTTACAGGAACAGCTCTTACATAAGAGACTAGCTGTTCCCGTGCGGCTTCATCCGCATGAAATTATAAAAAATTTATTTTATTGTTTACATTTGTCAAATTATCAATTGCAAATGTCAAAATGACATTACATGACAAACCTTGGCAATCTTGCTTCCTTGATGAAGCAACTTATGGTCTCTTTCCCACATTAGGGTTTTTATCCAAAATATTTACACCTTAAGTTTAATGGCGTGAAAACATATAGCCTAAAGCGTGACTCAAGTATAGGGCTCTTAATTTAAAAAAAAATATTCAAAAATATGCTGTAATTGCTGAGATCTTAGGCAACAAAGAAGTGTGTGCTTACGCTTTATTATAATAGTATAGATTTCCCTGTCAATTATAGTTTGTCTAAATCAGATAGATTAGTTTGACAATTCATTTGAAATTTAGTAGGGATGGGTTGTGTAAAATCAGTCATAATTCTGATATATTTTCGATTTTTATTCTTATAGAAGTTGGAATCGATGTATAATTTGTATAATTTGTAATTATAAAACGGTGGTCTGATGATATCACAGAAGTGACAAAGAAAGACTGGCTGACTCTATTTAAAAACAGGGAAGGCTGGAGATGAAGTGGCCTTTACCCCAGGAGGGATCCATATTTAAAAAAAAATAATATAGTAGACTAACAAAACTAATAACTATAATAAGGTGTGAAACTAACAATACTCAAAATGAAATTTTAAACGTTGTAAATATGGAAATAAAGGGGCTTATTATTATTATTTTGTCATTATCAAGATTTTTCAATATGAGAATTTCAAACAAAGCATATTATTATATATCACAATAACAAAAAAACTGATTGTTTAACAGCCGATTACAATAACAACATATAATAATATAACATCTTAAACGATAAAGCTACATTTAACAACAAATTCCTTTAAAATAATCACATCTGTCAGATTACGCCTTTAAATTAAAGTGTACAAGATTCGTTTCAATAAAGTAGAACCTTGATAACTCAAACCTCGGTAACATAAAAATCTGTATAACTTCAAAAAATAATATGTTCCCTTCCCATCAGAGCCCAAAACCTCTATAACATAGAACCTTGATAACTTAAAACCTCTATAACTTAAAATATTTTGTGTTTCCCTTGGACTTTAACTTATCAAGGTTCTACTGCATATGGCCATAAATTTCTTAGATTGTACTAACCTGGTGCAATAGTTACTACTCGGATGCCTTGCTTTGCGAGATCTCTAGCTATTGGTAACGTCATACCAACTACGCCTGCCTTTGATGCTGCATAAGCCGCTTGACCGATCTGAAGAGAAAGGTAAAATAAATAATTTCACTTGACAAAAATAGTTTAATAGAAAAAATTAGAATCTTAGCAATCCTAGAAAATAAAGTCAAAAAATAAGCTGGTACTGTGGTAGTCAGGGCACTTAGCAGTGTACAACTTATAGAATAATTGCCTTTTGTCATGAAACAACAACTCCTCCTTATTGTTACTAATAACCATTTAATGGCATTTTTTTTATAAAAGAGGGCAAACGAGCGGAAGAAACACCGAGTCGGTCAAGGATGCCCACGGACATCCGCAACACCAGAAGAACTACAGATGCTGGACTTTAAGGAAATGTTAGCTTCTTCAAGTTTCAGTTGCACATAAAACGGGATAATAGAATCAATAAACTGTGTCATCATCATCATCACCAGCTCACTATACGTCCCCATTGAGGGGCTCTGAGCCTACTTTAAGTTAAGATGACTAGGCCATAATCAAACACGCTGGCCCACTGACGGTTGGTTGACTTCACACATACCTTTGAATTTCTTCTCCGATATGTGCAGGTTTACTCACGATGTTTTCCTTCACCGTAAGAATGTCGGCTAATTATGTACATATGAAAATTCGACAAATCAAAAATCACATTGGTACAGCGGGATTCGAACCCAAGACCTGTAGATTACAAGTCAAGTGCTTAAAACACTGAGCCACCGACACCCTTTATAAACTGTGTACCACTTTTATTTGTCAAACATTCTAAATATTCTATTGTGGCATATGCAATTATTGTTTTGGAACACCACCAGATATCTTGACAGTACTATCAGAGATTTCCACCGTTTTTATCTCTGTTTTATCAGAGTAATTGTGATAATTATATGTTTTGGTACTTTCTGTTATAGAAACCTATAATTTGTGGTCCGTCAAAACAATTTTTTGTATTAAAAAGTGAAATACATCTTTACCTGTCCATCAAATGCCGCTATACTAGCTGTATTGATTATGACACCTCTTTGTCCGTTCGCATCAGCTGCATTCTTACCAATCATACCAGCTGCTAAACGGATTACATTAAAAGTGCCTATCAAATTAACCTGAAATGTATTAAAAAGTGTGTTAAAAATAACTCAGGACAAAAGTAAACTGCAATTTTATTTAGGTACTAGTTGTTCCCGTACTCCTTATTTCATTGTATACATTTGTCAAATTCTCAATTGCAAATGTCAAAATTCCAATGCTCAAATGACAACAAAGGCCTTTGACATTGGATAAAAATTACCATACCATGGCAATCTTGCTTCCTTGGTCTTAGCTGCTTGTAGTTTATAGTCCCTTCCCCACATGAAGGTTTCTATCCAATTTATTTACCCTCTACATATAATAGCGAGAAAATATATAGCCTAAAGCATGTTGTAAAGGTTTATTATTTAAGATAGAATAATACAAAAATAATAATACAGGACCGGGCATCGTGGCAATCGATGGGGGAGGCCTACGTTCAGCAGTGGACGACCTAAGGCTGTTAATGATGAATACAAAAATAAGCTGTGATCACTGACACCTTATGCCATGAAGTAATGTGAGTTTACACTTTTTTATATTTAAGTATAGAAGTATAGATTGAATTTATATTAATTAAATTATAAACAAACCTCAATAGTCTGCTGGAATAGTTTTAGGTCGAAGGGTTGATCCTTCTTAAAGTTATAAACTCTAGCTGCTGTAGCAATACCCGCACAGTTGACTGCCACATCAAGGCGACCAAATTTGTCCATTGTAGTCTGTAAAGCATTTTGAACATCCTCCTTTGATGTCACCTAGAAGTTGAAATATGTACATAATTTAAATTTAAGTATTTTAATTTTATGTCCATACAAAAAGGTGAAAAACCTTCTTATAAAATCTTGTCCACAAACTTTTTTTAGCATATTTGTCAGCTTTCACAATATTTTATGTCTACACACTTTGTCACAAAAGCAATTAAACCATTTATCTTTTAGTCAATAAAAAATAAAATAAAACTCATTGCAATAAATAATTCAATAATTACATTGACTGGTACAAATGCTGCATTCTCTCCTAGTTGTTTAGCCGTCCCTGTTCCCGTGCTGGAAGGCAGATCACATATAACAACTCGTCCACCTTGCTTCACTATTAACTCGGCTGTAGATCGTCCTAAGCCAGACGCCCCACCAGTCACTAAGCCAACAAGACCCTGGAAAACATTAAGATCAACATTAAACTAAGGTAAAATTAACTTATATAAGGTCTAGTAACCCCTAACTTTGGTAGGCACTGAACTATTTATGGATGGATATCACCTGAAGGCAATAACTAACAGTCAAATATTGTTCCAGAGAAATGCTTTTGTAGACACTTGAGATAGAGATTAAGTCCATTGATCATATCATTTTCTTTAAACTTCTCTTAGAGTTGTACTTTAACCTTTGGACATACGTATGCTATGTTCGTAAAATCACAGAGGGATTATTAACACTCTATTAAGCTACAATAATCAATTAAATATGGAAGTTACAGAAATTGGTAAAGTAAAACAATATCTTACACCCCTTTCTACGGTATACAAGATTCTTTTTTAAATAAAGCTTTGATATGAGACGAGACCTAATGTCCATTAAAATAAACGATTAGTAAGTTATATTAGACTTCTCATATAACAATTTTGTAACCTAACCTATAAACAAAATGTGTAGCAAGGAAACAAGAAAGTAGTCTAAAAGCCATGATTATTAAAAGTGTTCAAATAAAATCTGTTTTACTTTACCTTAAGCATTGTTGTAAAAATATCTACAAATTGTGAACAAACTCAATAGCAACTAAGTCGAGACGTGGTTGAGTTCACGTTTAATATCAAAAGAAACGTTTAATTATCTACGTAGATATAATGTACTATCATATATCAAACATACTCAACATTTAATTTACATATTATCTTAGTCTTATAACTAAATGATAAGAAAAACTTTATTGTTTACTTTGTAGAGAATAGAGAAACTGAGAGAAACGATTTTGAATCGAGTCAAATTACTCGAGTTATTGCGAGTTATGATTTTATCGATTTAAATATAAACCCTTATTTGTGCAATTCTTATTTTTATTAGCTTACTTATTTATTTTCGCACACAAGCAAGCAATATTAATATCGACTAGCGTTTTCTCATTGCCTATAAAGTAAAAGTCTTAGAAACACGGAAACGACGCTGGGCTTCCTATAAAGAATGAATCCAAATGACAATACACAATTGTTTTATTGTCGATGTCATATCGCAGTCGTTAAGGTTGAAATTCGAATTTTACCTTGTATTTTTGACATTGACACTACACATATTAAAAGTGAATTTATTTTATTTATGTAACAATTAATTAATGAAAAATTAATAGTAATAAAAAAATGTCGAAATTAAGTGCTTTAACTTTTACTAGAAACACTGGAGCTAGACATACTGCTACAGTTGTATTTTTCCATGGATCAGGTGTTTACTTTTTATAACCTTAAAATGTTTACATTGAAACAAACATTTTAGCTGAAATTTATTACTAGTTATCAGTTTTGGATATAACATTGAACGTCGTTATGTTCATTTCACAGTATTAAAGACATTGTAATTTTGAAGAAACCTGTTTACAGTTTAATTTTTGTTTATTTTCAGGAGCAAATGGAGAGCACATGCAAGAATGGGTTCATTTAATGAACAAAGACTTCAAATTTCCGCATATTAAAGTGATTTATCCAACAGCACCATTACAGCCTTACACACCAGCTGGTGGTCAACCAAGTAATGTATGGTTTGATCGAGCTGATATCAATCAAAATGTTGCCGAGAAGTTGGATTCAGTGGAAAGAATAGGAGCACAAGTTAAAGAATTAATCAAAAGTGAAGTTGATGGTGGCATTCCTTTAAACAGGATTATTGTTGGTAAGATTCCTTCCTACTGTTGCCTATGGTATGGATTATAGTGTTTAAAAAACACTACTAAAGTGTTTTGTGAACATTTATGTTTATGTAAATTCCAGGTGGATTTTCAATGGGAGGAGCACTTTCTTTGTACACAGGCTACAAATGGGAGCACAACTTAGCTGGAGTGTTTGCATTCAGCTCTTTTCTCAACAACCAATCTTTTGTATATCAAGACCTCAGCAAAAGTTCGGGAACTAAATGTAAGTTCATAATGCCATAGCACAAGACAATGTTAAATAAGTGCCAGTCTTTGGTGCTATTAAAATCACAATATTTTATAAAGAAATTAAGTATGTGTCAGATAATTTAAATGTCACTTTGTGCCTGGTTCACACATAGCCACAGTTAGACAATAACACAGGCTAGGCATGGATTATATGGACCCCATGGCACCAATAAGTTTAACACTAGTTATTGAGAGCTACTGCCTATCGGTAGTGGCCAACTGTGAATTAGACATTATGGTGTGTTCCCATTATGTGGTAATAGTTAATCTTGTCCTTTTAAACATTGTAGTATTAATATTTAAATGATTTGTGGGGATAGTCATGAACAGTGAGAATAGGTAGTAGGTCAGTTGTAAAAGAATTAAAACTTACATCCAAACTAGTTAGCAAATGTTGCAATTCACTAAGAACATCTAGATATGATAGATCATTATCATCTCCCCAGCCTTATCCTACTCCCGTAGTGTCGGCGCACCGGGTTTTCGTCCTCCAAAGCACTCTATCATCCATCATCTCAGTCATCTCTCCCTTCTTGATCATGTCACCTTTCATCCAATCCATCCATCTTTTTCTAGGTCTACCTCTACCAGTGTACCTCCACATTCATAATTAACATCCTTCTTGTTACATGCGATTCATCCCTTCTCATAACATGACAATACTGCACTGACCTTTTACTCCTTATTTTCTCAACCACTGCGGCTACTCACAAACTTCGCTCAAAATATAGATAGTAAAGATTTTAAAAATTAAAAAATGGTGACTTAACTGTTATGACATAATGGGACCTAACTATGACTATGTTTAAGAAATACTTTTTTTTAAATTACTATAGAATTGATTTATTCCAGTGCCACCACTACTTCAGATTCATGGTGAGATTGATGATTTAGTGGATCTGGATTGGGGACGAAATACATTCAATGAGTTGAAGAAATATGGTGTCAAAGGAGAGTTTCATATAATGCCTAAATTAGGACATTCTATTAACAAGAAAGGAATGAACATAATTAATGATTGGATTGTGAACTTACTGCCTGATGTATGACTGAAATTGTCAATTTACATTCTAGGAAATACAAAAGCTAGGCCCAAATAATCTCTATAGTGTAAGGTTAGTTGAATTTATACCATGGTAAAATTAATGACCGAATACTGAAGTATCTTAAATATTTCACTTTGTTAACGCTGCTTACAATCTGACAGATGTCAGTTTAATGGATTTAGAGTGTAATTGTGACCCCATAGGTTAATATACTGTTAAATGTACAAATGTTCCTTCAGCATTTGGCTGTAAACTATATGTGATTTAGGGGAGGTTATTCTCCAACAGTTGGTGTCTATTGGCAGAAGACTGCATTAAAAAAGTAATTTTTATATGTAATTTAAGGGATAATTGCACAATGATGAATATTAGTAGTTTAGTAACTGTATATTAAGATAAATGTTCAAATAAATTGTTTATATGTTATAAACTTTATTCTTTCTTTATCCCTTTATTATAATAATAGACCATAGCATAATGTCACACTGGCACATAAAAATGAATTTAAATACAAAATCAACATGACGTTTTCGATGAAAAATGTCAATTTGTTAATTTATTTCAATTCTATAAAGTGTTCAGAAAACATTATTTAAAGTAGAAATGCAAAATGCCTCCTAAAAAGGAGAAAGAGCGCGGCGATGACGATAATCATTGGCGATTACTGATTGAACAAACACCTTTAAATGAGCCTACCTGGAGTGTTAAGGTAGTTCTTTTTGAAACAGCCGGAAGCGAACAAGAAATCATGTATTTAAACAAATTCGAAACATTCGCTAAAGAAGAGAAAAGGTTCGTAATTAAAAACATTTGTAAATCTGAAACTATGTTTATGGTTAATCAGCTCGGTGCTGAAAAGAAGGTAAAAGATGAAAACTTACGAGTTTTTGAAGAAGGTCACATTTACCTAAGAGAAAAGAAAGATATACCTCCAGATATACTCGCGCTTATAATAAAACATCTTGTTTTAAAAATGAAACAGGAATATCTTTCTATACAGAAGCAAAAGTTTGTAGTAAGAGAAGGTATGCGAAATGAATCCTTGACAATGATAGATCGGTCTGAAATAAGAAATAATATGCCAACTCAAAGTGTTCAACCGAGTGAACCGGTTGAGCCTCCACATCACAAAGGTAAAGGTAAAAAAGATGAAACAGACGTTATGAGTACTATGGTACCCGAAGAAGGCAAAAAATATAACACATTACTTCGTGTACGAGGAGAAGAGTGGAGAGATAAAGTTTACGTCGATGACTTCCCACTAGATGGTCCTAATTTATATTTAGCCATTACCGGTTTTTTGGAGCCTTGTCTTTTAGAGAGCCTTATGAAAATCGGCGTTCCCATAACAGCTGTTGTTCAAATAAGAATTGACCCCACATGTAATAAAATATCATCAGGTTATTTTACAGGAACTAAGAGGGGACACAGCGCAATTGAATTGGCTGCAGAAAAATCATACGAATTTTGGAGAACACTACAAGAATTAAGATTAGACAACGCGTCCGCTGAAAACTTTAAAGATATGGCTTTCATAGTTTTTACTCCGCCGTACGGAAGTTGTGAGACGTTGTCTAGTAGCGCAGACCGGGTTTACGACGAGCTCAGTTTCCTCATGTACGACATACAAGACTTGACGAGGCAACATGCACATTATTTAGACAACATGGATGTCAAGTGCATACCTACTGATAGTAAGAATGTTCGTATGTTGAAAACATACTATGATCATTTGAACGAAATTCCTCTAGAATGTACCACTATATTTTCTATAATAGATAGCATGTTGCAATCTCTTTGTTACTGCGCTACCTATGACAGCAAAAGCGAAACAACATCTCTGTCAACTGATTTTACAGTATTGCAAACCAGTTATAGTACTAAAAGTCCCACTAATTTAGATAAAGCCGATAACCTTATTAATAAAGTTTTTGAAACTTTATCTAAAGGTGATTATAACAAGAAAAATTATCGAATAACCTGTGGTGAAGATTATGACAAATATAAAGATCCAGTTATCATAAACTACGGAGATTGCGCTCAATGCACTACTTTTCATTTAGAACATAACAATTTAGACGATATCATTTGTTCTTCGTTAGTTAACATGCCTATTTGCAACCTGTGGCAAAATCAACCCATTCCTTCGGAGGAGTTACTGGCTAAGGTTAACTTACACGTAAGTGTACTGCACACGTGTTTCGACAAAAAAGAACTTGACGATTCTTTGTTCACTAGACTTGTTCACATCTTATCTTTCCGTAAACTTTATAATAATAGGAGTTCTTTGAAGAAAGGGACTGTTCCGCCAACAAGTATTTCTGAATTTAAGAAAATATATTTGAAACGTAGCACTTTCGCGGAACCATTTCCTAAAACCACGTCGTTATTCTGGACGAGTAGTGCAACCTCTCCGCCGAGCCCGACTATAGTAAAAAGTTATAGTTACTCGAGGGAGGTTTCAAACTCAAGCAACTCCGAGGAGCAACGAATCGAACTCCTGTTCGATTGTCCCGATATAAGCGAACTAGTATCCGCGCTTGAGATAACCAACGATAAACCTGTCAACCATTTAATCGATGAGTACGATTTTTTTGAAGATTTTTCTGGAATAAATTCCCTACAAGTATTACTCAAGGCTTTTACCCAATTTAATTGCTTGAATTACAAGTATTGTGAAATAACTGATGAGTTTGTTATGATGTTTTACAATAATCATGATAGTGATGGAATTTCACGCGAAGAATGGCGTTGTCATTTACCAACGCCCGTGTGTTTGCAAGACTTTTTCGATTTCGTATTAGAGGAAGAATACGAATGGATCCAAAGCGAAGAAAAACAGTATGATGAATGTACTCTATTAAAAACAAAATTAGAATGGAAAGAGTCGTTGGATAAAGTTCCAACAAAAAGTTGTGTTGAAAATATTGATGATATAGATTCTGAGCTTTTAATTACAGGTTCTCTAAAATATCAAGAAAGAATACAAAGCGATAGTCTAGAGGAAGAGGATGTAGACCATAATAATGTATTGCCTAAAATGACAGTTTCCTCAACTTCTAGCCCAGACTCCAAAAGCAGTCGCAAAACAAAATCTGCACAAGAAAAAAAGAAAGGTGTCGATGTGACATCTGACGCAGACAATGTTTCGGAATATAATGCATATCTAAAAAGATTTTCCGGTTATAATTTAGGGGAAAGGAGAGTTGAAGTATTCGGGAAAGATTCAATTTATTTTTCTAAGGATGGTACAAAAATGTGCAGTTTTTACACTATTATTATACCAATGAATTTGGAGTATTTAGTTTTAAATGTCGTTCCGGGTAATGGCAATAATGAATTTTGGATGCAGAAAAAGCTGGGAGATGCTAATATTGACAAAATAGATAATGTTGGCGAATCCTTTAGAATCATTAGTAAAGAACAAGTAACATACTATATAAAGAAAAATTGGTATCAGTCACCGATACCTACGGTAACTTCGATTTGTAGCCAAAGTAAAATGAAACCAAACGAAGCCATAAGCAAATCTAAAGTGAAAACAACCAGTTCAATTAACACTTTCGTATGTGATTCAAAATTGTATCATAGTTTCGTAATAACGTGGCCTAACGGCCTTATTATAGAGAGTGTACATGAAGAAAATTCCCCAAAAATAAATCACATCAAACAATTTTATGTAAGTCATGTAACAAATATAAAGGAAGATATGCGTTGTGTGACTTTAGATGGTGAAGTTGTCATTTTTAAAAAGTCTGGTATTATAGAAATATATAGACCGGACGCCACTTATATTAAAATTATCAAATGTGCAAAACGAATTGTACAACAAGAAATTGTAGAAGAGATTCCCAGTGCCAGTAGTTCTGAGAAAAATAAGAAAGTCAAAGGTAGAACCTCGTCCGCAAAAGATAAGCTAGGTAAATCCGCATCAAAGGCTTCGAAAAGTGTTATTGAACAGAATGAAACTTCGACCGGCACCCCACGATACGAGCTATTCATTGATGAATTCGAAATAACGGATTCCAATGGGTTAAAGGAAAAATGGGTTAACAATCACCTCGTTGGCGCAGAAAAGCTACTTGTTAGGACGGCCACGGACTACAATTTGGGTGAAGTATTTTCCCGGCGAATGGACGGCACTAAAACTTTACTCAATAAAGACGGTCTGTTCGTTGCAACATTCCATGACAATACCAGAATCATTACGACTTATTCAATTGAAGATGAAGAAATTTATCCAGAGATCGATTCTGCTGACGTTTTGAGTTCTGGTGTTATATTTGAAAATACTAATACATCAAAAAATGTGGCTGGATCTCCAAAAAGTAAGGAAAATGTTTCAACACATGGAAGTTCATCAAGCAGCATATTAGGCGAAGAGGAAGTAGAAATCAGAACCGATGGTTTTATATCTGTACACTTGACTCATACAATAGAAAACGCAAACTTTGCTACTGTCACTGTAAATAAAGCTAATGGCGATATTACTGTCGATTCTCCAAATAAAACATCTTTACTTGTAGATGTAAATGGGAAGTGCGATTTTTCTCTTGATAAATCTACTTCTGCTAATTTCGATGGCGCATCTTTAAATATAAATTTTGAAGCCTGCAATCAGTGTGAATCTACTACAACTTGTACGGTAAATATTAATAATATAAGAAACGCCAGTGATACCGACCAGACATGGTTAACTATGAAGGATTCATTTGGTAAAAATATTATTGTTGATGTGGAAGGTGCAATTACTATAGTGAATGAACCGTTGAAAGAAGAAGTTGAACAAAGCAGAGACGAAAAAATATCTAATAAACCTACGGAGTCTTGTATTACATTGCTGGGAAAGTGTAGGGAAATGTATGACGCAAAGGCCTTGAGATTTTTTGTATTAAGGAGGTTGGTACGAAACTTTACAAAATTTGAAGGCATAACGCATAGTAACTAGTAACATAAATTATTTTATCGCAGGGACTTGAGTTGTTCTGAGCTAGTCCACCGTTCTCTTATGGAAGAGTACAAGAATCGTTGCCGTTGGCAGCCTTGGTGTTCAATCAACGAGTATGATACTTTTGGTGATCATCGAAAGATTCTATCTATACTTACACCATTACAACTCACTGAAACGGAAGTAAGAATGACATTTTACCTTTTTCTTTTCATTTACTTCTACTCACAGAGTTGTCACTAGTTTCTTAGGTCATTAATAACTGAATGCGGTAGTTAAACTAACTCTTATGAAAAGCATTTTACAAACAATTATAGAAATGGTTAATGCGGTCTAAATACTGTGATAAGCCAACGCATCTAAAGTTTAAAGACTTAAAAGAAGATACGGGCAAAGGTTTTTATCATTGGATGCGTCCCTATGGTAGATTCCGACCAGAGCCAAAGAGTATTGAAGATTTTAAATTACCAAGACTGCCCAGAGCATATGTTTTAAGGTAAGTGGTAGTGCCCGCTTTAACATCTTAGCACGAATGGGCCGGCACGCCCGGTGTAATACCACGACCACACAGAAGATAGGCGTGAAATGGGAGCAATTCCGTGTTTCGTCTGATGAGTGTGGTGCCGGAGGCCTAATTTAAGTCCCTTTCTCGTTACCACCCTTTTCTTACAAGGAGAGGTTGGGAAGAGGAAGTGGATTTGACGGTGGAGGAGATGCATAGGAAGGGGAAATATCCTCTTTATGTGCGTCTCCTCCTCCGTCGTATAAGGGTAGGCAACGCATCTGCAATTGCGGATGTCTATGGGCAGCGGTCGCTTCGCCATTTTGGCGGTCACAGGTGATCGCTTGCTCGTTTGCCACCTTATGTTATAAAAAAAAGTAACTGTGTCAGTTCAACCTTTGTTAAATAGTTTTTTGTAGTTTAACATCGATCAACTTGCTAACGATTGAAATAAACTATTTTGCAAAGGACTCTAGAGTTACTGTGGGACGAGCAGTCTAGGAACAATATGAAAGGAGGTAAGGAGATGGTGAAAGCTGTATTAAAATACCGACGTATGATGCAAGAGGAATCAGAAGCTATACTACAAGTGCCTATCAGGGATCCTAGGACTGAAGAAGAGAAAAAAATTGACGAAAAGTTGCAAGAAATAGCCCACAGGTTTGTCAGTACTATCTATCCAGTCTGCGGTCGCCCACTACTGAACTGACCTCTAAGAACTTTTCTGCTTTGATCAGCTCATTGGTTCATCTTGTGAAAACTTAGTAACCTTACTGATATAGCATTATCTATAGTTACCATATAAATTTTAAACTCTGGAAGGGACAAAAAGAAACACCTATGTGGCCTGTTAACAGGATATGGGATGAATTCGTAGATTAATGTTCCCAGGTTGATATAACAAGCAACGTGTCTTTCATTTTAAATGATGCTAAATGGAAAGTTGATGCTTTGTATAGGATCTACCTAGACTTGAAGAACGAGCTCTCTGACAACATACACAGCAGTGCTCGACCGACTATAACGACTGAATGTCATAAACCTCCTCAACCACCGATATTTGCTAAAACGGGTGAAGGTATGTTTAACTTTTGTATTTAAATACCAACTTAAATTATCATGAGTTATAACTAACTAAATCATGAAGTCATACTAGTCATGCTTCATGCTAATATTGAAAATGTGAAAGTTTAGATGGATGCTTGTTTATTAGCGTTTGTAGCAGAAACGGCTGAAACGGTTTCTATGAAATTTGGTATAGAAGTAGAGGAAGTCTGGAAGAACACATACGCTACACGCATTTTTTATTGAACGCGGACGGAGTCGCGGGCGAAAGCTTGTAAAAATTTCTTTATTAGTGACAATATACTGTGCTGAAGTCTGAATTTTTATTATTACGCGATATTTTAGCAATATTCAATGAATAGAAAAGAAAAATTTTAAAGCAGGAGAGCTTGTTAAAACTTTACATGGACTCGCTTCTTAACATTACATTTGTTAAATAAGTTTTTGCGGAGTTTCTAGTGATGTTTATCAGATCTTCTTACTTTTTGCTTTATCAATATATTTTAACGAGGAAATACACGTGCTGGTAAAGTCAATGCGCAACGAGTCGTGTCCGTATTAAGTTTCGTACCCCCTTCCCTCTCCCGACTTGCAGGTAGCTATCACAAAATCAAATGGCATGGCATGGCATTCAAGTGTACCAGCTACTCGTGTATTCACAGCCTTAGGTATACGGTAAGAATACTTGATATCAAATGGTTATAATATAAAAGCCAATATGTATGTTATAGTTGCATGCGAAGAATTAAAGAGAGCGTGGCAGGAGAAGCAAGATGAATACGTCAGAGCGGTGGAAGAGATATCGAGGCCGAGTGAGAACTTGCAGCGATATTGGCGCAGAAGGAGAGAAGAAGCCAAAGAGGAAGAGTTCTTCAAGTATGGGTTTCTTTATTTCGAATCTTACTAGAGACAAAGACTGTCTAATTATGCAGACCGCAGTCCTCATATGTTTTGCAACACGGTTTTAATATTGAAAAAAAGCAGTGGGTAAGCCAGTTGCTTTGCCACACGTATGCTAGTGTGTGCCTGTAGGTTACCCGTTTACATGTAAGGGTTACCTACACCGCGGAGTCTACGTTAGGGTTAAATTTATTGATCGAATTTCATTAATTCCAACTGACTAGGATGGGTTGGCTTCAAGTAATTAATATGATACGTACTGATCATTATTTGAGTTACCTTTTAATTTACGAACTAAGCCAACCGTTTAACAATAACAACCAACACATGAGTGTTGTGGAAAAATTGGTGATGTACTTATCTTACATGTCGTTAGCGTTAGCGTGGTATGGACATATGTATTATGCGAAGAGATCACATAACACATAAGTAATAAGTTTGTGCGTGGATGGTACAAAGGTAGGGGAAGACCTAAGAGAGTATGGATACATTGTGTGAAAGATGATATGCATAAGAAGGAAGTGAATTTAGATGTAAAGACTGATAGAAAATGATCATAGAGAAATATGTACATACTCGTACTATGCCGAACCTCTGTAAGGGAAAATATAGATTCATTATAAGAAAGTATGAAGCAGATGACAATAAAACGCTACGAAACATTGAAAAACAATACAGAAACGTATCGGTAACGGTGCGATAAAGTCGGTTGAACTTTATCGATTGTTGATTGTAGTTTGTATTTCGCGCCAAAGATTTGTTAATGCTGAAATCGACGAATAACAAGCGTCGACGATTAGGTTTCGTCCAATCACAAACACCTTAGATTGAGATATCGAACCCGGTGTATACTAATTGGTAGAAAAGAAAATTTTCTTGTCACTTACAATTCTTTGTCCATTTTTTAACCGACGTCAAATGGCAGAGGTTATTAAAATAGTTAGTGGCAAATTATCTTCTTTAAGTGCCATTATTTTGTTTATTAACGATTATATGCGACATATTTTGACTATAGGAAGAAGAAAGAGAGGTTTTATGATTTGCAAGAAATACGAAAAATTTTGCACAGGTACCTCACACGTCTGTAGTTTGCTGGAGTATTTATAATTTGTGCAGGCAATTATTACGTGAAGAGTCTATCCCACCTTATTTCCGCAACATGTTGGGCGGCGCGGCGTGGTGGGAAGTGAACCACATGGCCGGGGAAGCGGTCACGAAAGCTGGAGGTAGTCGATGCGAGTGTTTGCGTCCAACATCGACGGACACCAAGAATCCTGCAAGTAAATCTTAGTGTTCGTTCAATAAAGTTTATCCATAAACTAAATAGTTTTACTTTAAAAGAATTTATGAAAAGACAAAGCTGGGATTTGTATGATAAATGAATCAATTACGCATCTTTTAAACAGAACCATAAAGTATTAACTAGTAACCAGCAATATCTCTGAAGGCGTCACAAAGTAAAATTAAACAGTGACTATCATTGCATTTGAAATTAAAATTTGGTAACTGTGTCCAGTTGAATAATTGACATTTGTGCGTTTCAATATTGTACGAGTAATTAATTTATGATTAGTATTAAAGATTATAGGGTTAAAAGGTCGATTTTAATGGCTTTTGTCCAGTATCTTATACCTATGTTTGTAAACTAAGAAATCTGTACTAACCATATTATGTATTCGATGTGCAATCTAGAGAAATGGATCATTGCAAATCAACTTTACGATCTTTTCAATCAACTACTTTCAAGATATAAGGTACTTACTTTATAATTTCAATCTATTGTTAATGTCGTTGGATGATCAAGTAATATAAAGAAGTATTTGACTATTCCTCAATCATACACCATTCATGTTTTGAATCCACCCTCGTAAAGTAATTCCAATTTGGTTCTACTTAGTCATAATGACCCTCTATGATTGGTCTCAACGATCGGCAAATCATCTCTATAGAAATTGTAGAGGGTCGTTTTGTTATAATTAATCTGTCATCCATAGATGCTATGACGGTTGTTAATGTTTTGAAGTCTTATAGTTGTTTTTGTAATAATACTTCAAGTTTTAAAAAGTCAAAGTTGTAGATCAATTTCAGCTTGGTTATTTCCTAGATCTGTACCTGAAATATTTTTGTAATCTTTTTACATTCTGATTGTATGTACTAAGGATGCCTCGTTCATGTAATTTAGCTTATACTGTAGAGGACTCTGAATCCTGCCTCGAAGCAAAGCCGCTTTCGCTGCTCGTATGCTTCATATTATATGTGGAAAAGTTAATTTAGCTTATGTTACATTGCAGGATGTTCTTCAGATGAGGACAAGGACAGCTATTCCGGAATTCGAGCAGATAGAACGGACTGCCCTGTTTTAAGCACATGTTCAGTTTGAGGGGGGCAGCAGGAGCACGGCCGGACTTAGGTGTTCTAGGTTAACGGCCCCAGCTCCATCCGCCAGCGTGTAATTGCCTGTTGCCCATTGGTGTCCCTGCACAAAGCGGTGTGGCCTCGCACACCAGTTTGTGTTTGAAACGAATGACAGAAGTGAGTGGCGAATTCCTCTCTCGTTTTCCCCACCGCGTTGCGGTCGCGGGGCCGCTTCCGCGATTGGTCCCCGACCCGACCAATGTGCGCGGCGTCGGCTCTCGGCTCTCGCCCTACGCACGAAAGGGACCGCGTCACGATGCATCGTCTCCAGTCCGTCCCTGGCCCTTGCTAAGGATTGTGTTGTTGATGTGATTTGCATGTGTGGCCGGTTGTTTATCAACAAAAAGCTGTTGTTATTTGTGTGTGCATATACCTAATTATCGGATTCAGCAGACAAGGTGTGACTGAGACGCGAAATCTTCACGTAAGTATTGCTAATGAAATTAACATTACCCCCCGATTGATAACAGATGGCGCTACTTCCATATCAGTCGAATCGTGTCATTGAACCGGCTCGGCGAGCCTGCGCAGCGGGTCGCGACAATCTTTATCGGTCCATGGTCTTGTTTATTTGTACACAAATTGGCGGTTACGTTCTCAAGTGGCGTCTGATCGGTACGACGATTGACGCCCGATTACAGAATCATGGTCTCGGGGAAAGTATTGGCCTTGTAACTTGATACGACACTCGCGCAGGCATGCTTTGAATGCAGGCGGCGCTTACGTAAGCCGAGCAATCGTATCTTTCAACTTGACGGAAAGTGAGCCTGAGAGAGCTGTTTACTAAAACTATATCAGCAACGGAGGAAACAGACTTGACCTAACTATCGTCGGGTTAAACTAATTCTGTGACTGCATCGTAGTTTGCTGATAAATCCGCCTTCTATGCTACACTCCGCTGTTAATAATTGAATAATGAAGCGACGCAACAAGGTAATATAATAGTAGAAATTGAGTCCTGTTTATCTGTACTAGAGATTTCCAGTTGGAATTTTATCCGAATCTGATAAAGAAGATATGCTGTTTATAGGATTGCTAAACGTTTTTATTTTGAAATGTATGTAACTACTTATGTTGGATTTTTCTTATCAAATTATAGGAAATAAATCAGCTGATTTTAAAATCTTATAAGAATTGAAGATCTTTGGGGTTCGAATGCAGTGACACTTGTGTTTGATAGATATTGTCGTCCCTCATATTTGCTTTGAAAAAGAAAGAGAAGTAGACAATTACCTGCAGCTAGGCATATGATTATTATGTATTAACTACTTAAAGAACGCTCAAGGATGAATTTGTTATAGAAGATATCCTTTTACGTTAAAAGAAGCCAAGAAAATTAGGATCTTAGTAATAAGCAATTGTTTTCCTGTCTTAAGAAACGTAATACAATAAACTATAGTACTCGAAGGTAGTGTTGGGGCATTGGGCAGAAGAGAATCCATATGTCAATTGAATTCCTAAATAATTTCGATCTACAAACAGAACAATGTTTAAAAGTGATGAAATTATTATTGAGTCTACTTCATCACATAGAATTGTATTTGATCGAGTTAACATGACACAAATTACAGTTTTCAAAAAATACTTTTAGTTTTTAAGAGTAAAAACTAAACAAGTTCTGCTAACTATATTTGCATCACTCTCATTTTCTACGATTTCGTTCTCACCGTGGGTATCCGTTGCTGAAACAGTACAAAACTATATAGTCGTCTCTATTTTCGCACACGCGACGAACATGCACTTTAATTAATTTAAAAGCACACCATGTCTTAATACGCTAGCTATGCTCACATTTATACACAATACGCACACACACGTATATTCTATTCACACCTGTACACACATTATTACCGTTAAATTCAATTGCCGTGACTTTGTACTAAAATGTTTTGTATCTACTTTTTCGAAGAGAATGTGAGGGTATATATTTTACACAAATGTGTGAACCTTTAGACATTCTACAAATATAGTAATGAACTTGAATGGTACAATAAAAATAAAACCCTACCGTGAATTTCCATTACGTTAACACTTGTAATAAAATGTGTTGTCTCAGGTTTATCAAAATAAATGAGAGGGATGACAATATGCATAGAAGAATTACGACAGCGTTAGCCCATAGCTGCTTTTCACAATTTGTTGTATTTGAGGATGCGTCTTTCAATTAGAAGCTCATAGCAATAAAACCTCTAATTGCTCAATAATTTTTCCCTTGTTTGTCATACTGCTTTATTTTGAATTATCCCACTAATGTTATATTATGCGAAAGTTTAGAGGGATGTTTTTTTGTCGCCTATATGATTGAACGGATCTTGATGAAATTTGGTACAGATGTAGAGCATAGTCTGGAAGAAGACATAGGCTACTTACATTAAGTTTAATTTTATGTAAATACATTGGAGTAATATACAGAATCATCTTACTAATATTGTAAATGCGAAACTTTAGTTGGATGGATGGATGTTTATAGCCTAAATTGTTGAACCCAACTCGATGACATTTGGTATAAATGTAGTGGATGTATGGAAGAACACATAGGACTCTCACTTTTGTTTTCTTGTAATTCCACGCGGACGGAGTCGCGTGCGAAAGCTAATCTTTAATATTTCTTGACTTTTGTCTCACTGATCTGCTCTTTTATTCCGGATCGATTCGTGTCTATCTTTACGCTATATTCTTAGCTTGACCTGAGATATATTTCGGTATTCGATGCCCTCTTTCAAAAGGACGTATATAAATAATGCGGAAGACGGAAACGTAGGGTTATATCTTCCTTCCTTTTCTATCACAGTTTAGTCGGTTATAATCTTATAATCCTTTTTATAATTAATTAGCCCAAAAGCAAAATGTTTCATTACTGAAGGTATTATCAATGGTGCCAACGTTTGGCGAAAACACTCAAAGTATTATTTTAGTATTATTGCAGGTTATAATTATTAATATAAGTAATATTTAGTCGGTACCTTTTGTTTTTCCGTAGTGCTTAGTCATATACTTAGGCGTCGTCAGACGACCTAGGACTAGGGGCTGCTATTAATATGATCTTCGAATAGTTTTTATATCTACGTTACATTTATAGAGTCTACTCCCCCGCTCCCGGCGTCGCTCGTGGTCGCACATATTTAAGGGTTTACCCATACATCACCATATAAGGTCAAACCTGTCATACAAGATTTAACGTGGGTGATAATGTTATGTGACGATGTAATCAAGTTTAGATTATTAGAATAAACAGGTTTGTCAGTAATATATTCCTTCCTCTCGACCTGTTCACGCCATACTTGCGGACCTGACGCAATTCTTCCAACCTATTTATTTCATTTACAAACGCTCTTCGACATCATCGCCAAATTCACCTCTGAAAATGTTAAAATATGCGGGACATTTAATAAGGCAGTCTATATGGCGCCGTCTTTTTAATATGACAATTTTTTTTAAGAATTGGTGAAAGAAATGATACATTACTATTGGAATTTACCAACTAGCTATTGCCCATGACTTCGTCCGAGTGAAGTTTAAAAGTTCAAAACATACGTTCGCCCCTTTTTTCAACCTATTACCTAAAGTATTATCTAGTAATCTACGTAATAACAGAAATCTGCTGATGCCAGATTCCAAATTTCTAAGCCCGGTAGCTTAATGTTTGTGTACGCGATATCTTTTAAACTATTTGTCCAATTTAAATACTGTAAAGCACAATTTTATTCTACATTAAATTCTCCTTACAACAAACGCATTTATTTGGATAAGGATTAAATTTGAAACCAATAAAACAATGACGCAAATAGCATGCGTTTTTTGATTTATTTTGTAGACAAAAAAGTGGTTATTGTAAGAGAAAAGTTAAAAATTAGTAAATTTTCAACGCCGGCGTCCAGAAACATGCTGTCAATTAAT